GGAAAAAAAAGAAGAAAAAAAAAAAAGTAGAAAAAAAAAGGAAAAAAAAAAAAAAAACAAAAAAAAAAGAAAACAAAAAAAAAAAAATTGGTTTCTTAGTTAAAAGGTGAAAAAAGAAAAAAAAATTGCAGTAGTGAAGGTCCTTCGGTTCTTCTATTCTTCAGTCTGGCTTGCCTTTAGTCCTGCCAGGTATTCAGGAGAGTGTTGAGTTTCCCTGCGATACACTGTTCCTCTGTGTTGTAAACCACAGTCCTTATTTTAAAGCAGGCCTCGTTTGTTTCCCAGACTGCCTTTTGTGTTTAGCAAAGAGTCAGTTTGTGGCTCAGCCTCTGGGTGGCAGTGTTCTGGGGTTGGCCTCTGAGGCTATACGGCTTCTCTCTCGCACCTAAAACTGATTGGGAGAGGTCAACTATCCAGAGCTGGTTCCTTAATAGTTACCGGCTCTGTGTTGTTGCTGGGATTGAAAATCCCTCTATTGGCCAGACCCTGTTAACTCCCAGGAATTGATCAGATTATTTTAATCCTTGATCTCGTTCAGGGTGGAATCTGGGTGTGGCTGTGCTCCTTGCCTGGAGGCTGGGGGGAGGAGTCTCACTCTCTGGAGAGAATGGCTGCCCCAGTCCTGGGCCCCAGCATTCAATTCGCTGCCACCTCTCCTGGCCCCCCCTCTCTCCTCAGTCTTTCCCCAGATTCCACTCATGCACCTTCTCCCTTTCTTCAGCACAGTTGAGTGTCTGTATCTGAAATGTCTTATGAACAGGATTCAGTGAAAACAAACAAACAAACAAATGCCGGCCATGGAAACGGGGAAGGCTTGGTTTCTGTAAGCTCTTCTCTTACCGGCACTGCATGGTCTGGTCAGCTCTTCAGGCTGCCCCCTTTAGGCTCAGTCCTCTGTGATCACAGAACCCAGCTCTCAAATCCCCCGGCGGCACCAGGAATCCCTCGGATATCCTTTCCCTAGTTGGGGCTCTGCCTGTCCCAAGGGACGCGGCTGTCCGCCATGCGGTCTCCCTCCGACCCTCTGGGCTCAGAGGTCTGGCAAACTGCCAAATCCCTGTTTTTTTTCTACCTTTCCAGGGGAGTTCTGCCCTTCCCGGCTGCAAACTGTCTCACCAGCTGAGTAATTTCGCCAATTCGGGGTGGGTGTTATTAGTTTCAGCTGCTCACGCCATTTGCTCCGGGACACTACCTGGGACACATCTGCCTATATCCCCGCCATCTTCTGTCTCCTCCATTAATGTTTCTAACTCCTTCCTCCTTCCTCACTGTAATCAATAAAAATATATTTAAAATAAAGTAAAATTCTCACCTAATGATGTTTATTGATATATAGAAAGAGGAAGGGAGTGAGGTGTGTGTGTGTGTGTGTGTGTGTGTGTGTGTGTGTGTGAGAGAGAGAGAGATACATCAATGTGAGAGAGAAGCATCCATCAGTTGCTTCCTGTACTCACCCTGAACATGGATTGAACCCGAAGCCTATGTGCCCTGACTGAGAATCAAACCTGCCCAATTTTTGTTGTATGACAAGACATTCCAAGGAACGGAGCCACTTGGCCAGGGCTATAAACCTACATTGTACAACCACTGTATGACCTGTAAAGGTCACATGCTCATTTTTGACCTTATGGGAAATTGTCAACCTTTGAGAACATGCTTCTGTGTGGATACCTGTATGGTATTGTTTACAATGTTTGGAAATAAAGTTTTACTGTGCATATCTCTGTACTATTTGTGTCTCCATAACTTGAAAAAGATGCTCAGCAGAGCTTTTATTGAGGTACAAGAGAACCCTTGCACTGACCAGAGTAGCCATGCTATGCTGTGGTAATCTGAGATGCTTACTCTTTTTTTTAACCGTTTGACTGCTAAGGAGCGCTATCGCGCTCTTCTTATTTAAAACAAATTTATGTAAACAATTGGTATT